AAATGAAAGAAGGAAGAAGAAATTAAATTAGAAAACTCAACGCACTTTTTTGTTCACCCAATGGATGTATAGAATAATCTCTGCATGACCCCTCATGCTCAAGATAAGGCCCATAGAAAGGCTCTCTCCATGACAAACCGACCATTTTTTCAGCCAGAAGAGTGGAGACGACTTTGGACAAGTAACCTGAAATAAACAAGCCGAACAACGGGCTCAAGGCAGACCAGCTGGCTTGCTTCATTGCATAAAAATCAGTGAAGAATCCAATGTACGTGAATGAATAAGGCAAAATTGCTTCCATTATTATTGTCTCGCTTTTCTCCACCAAGGTTGCTCCTAGCGGCGGTCCGTCTGGAATCACCATTCCTAGCCAAAACGAGCCTATACAAATGGCCAGGCCGATCATGTCTGTAATAACCCCCAACACAAATTCCGACAGGAAGATGACAATCACGAAAAACTGATCGACTGGTTCTCCTACTGGAGTGTTTTGAATAATCCACAACATTACTGACCGGACAACAAATACCAAGAATCTTTTAAAAACCAACGAGGATATCATATACATGAGAGCATTATGACCCGATTCTTCATTTTGTTTCATTGCCTAAAAAACCAGCATACAATTTAGCCCAACGGTATCGCTTATTATTGTTGTGGACATCATCATATTCCCGACCTCGGAGCTAAGAAGATTTAGTTCTTCAAGTACAGTATAGTGAATAGGAAATGTTGTCACTGTTAGATTTGTCTAGAAATTAAGTTGACAAGTTGGAAATTTCATCTTGGTTGGTGGCCAATTTATTGGAAATTTCATCTTGGTTGGTGGCCAAACTTTGAACATGTGAATTTCATATTTGGAGGCTAACTTGTACACATTGGAAAATTCTTTGGTAGGTGGCCAAACTTTGAACATATTGTTCTTGAAACTCAACTATAAATAGGCCTAAGTATTTCCATTAGAAATCATCCCAAAAACAAGTTCTCTCTTCCTCTTGTATTCTTCATTCTCCCACTTTGGGAATTCCAAAGAATTCCATTTGTTGTAATATTGGCGATATACTGAAGTTATCATCTGGTGTGGTGCCCGAGGAGTAGACGATATTCTCGTCGAACCTCGTAAATTTGGTGTGTTCTCTCCTTTATTTTTTTTATTCGGTTCTTTTCCATTGTGTTTCAATATTCAATAGTTTGACAGGTTTATCCGCTGTGCAACCTTTGGTGGTTTTAATCTTGACATTTTAGGTCAATTTTAAAACTACGTTCGTGTGAGAAATAACCCGTTTTCACCAACAGTAACCAACAGAGACAAGGCAATTGCTTCAATAGAAGCAACTTTTTGTAGGTGTGCGTCCATTGATTTCCGAGTATTAAATGCTACAATGCTGGCTACGGCGAGAGGTATGAAAACGCTTGGGAGGCAATACATAATTGTTTTTTCCCGATCGTTTTAACAAGCCTATATCCATTTTCACTCCCCTTACAAAAAGAAATAACACGAACCCCATTATTCCCAAGTTTTTCAGCAAGAAATCTGAGGTAAGGGGAAACACCATGCTCACAAACATCGGGCTTCGCGCCATGAGAGAGGGCCCAATGATGATGATGCCCTTGAAACCAACCTACACTGCCTGAGAGGCTTGAGAAGAAAATGAAGGGTTCGAGAGATGAGAATAGTCGAGAAAATGAAGGGCCCTTGAAACTCCTGGTTTCCTCTAAAAATTGCTAAAGGGGTTATTTACTTGTGATCCAAAACTCATAAATGGATATGCTGCAGTTCCACTGTTGGCGACTTGAAATTTGGAACATGTTGTAATTCCCATTGCTGGCAGGTTACACGGTAGCCTTGCGAATGGATTAGGGAAAACTTAAGCATGCAAAAGGGCTAGTATCTATTGTGAAACGAAATCCATTAATTTGGTATTGAGAATTATACTTGATAGTAACATGCAGTAAATGAGGTAGCAAGTTTTCTGTATCTTTGTTTTAGATAACTGTAGGTACCTATATGATTTGTTATACGTTCATTCATGGATGACTGGCATGAGTTTGTATTGTTCGGGATGAAGCCTTTCTCTCTCTTTGATTGAATGTTATTGAAAGGTAAAACTGTTATGCCTACAAATTTAATTGTTGTTTGCATGAAGTGTGATATTTTTGGTAATTTCGTAGAGGATTGGGCCTTGTGGATGCCACTGGATAAGAGGAAGCAATGAGAACTCAGATATTAAAGGCAGAGCAGTACCTCACACATGGATTAGATTGGACCTTTGAGTTGCACTCAAATTCAAACTTGAAATCGGCTCCCCATCTCTGATCTCCCTTGGATAATAAATTGATGGGTAAATTACACGTGTATTCACTGAATTTTACTTTCTTTTCTATTTCACTTATTTTATTTTTAATTTTTTTTCAATTCACTCGCTAAACATTATACATTGAACTTTTTTAGTCACTTAACCGTTAATTTTCTAATGATGTTATGACGTGACAATCAACACCAAAACGACGTGGTTTTAGATCTTATAAAAGATTAAATATAGACTAAAATGCAGTTCTGATCCAAATAAAAAACTAATATTTTTCCTTCATTTTGTGCTCTTTCTTCCTTCTTCTTATTCTCCTTCTCTTTCCATTTCTCTCCTCATTAACCCACCCTATTTGACGTCCATGCCAGAATCCAACCTCGTCAACACTGGAAGGATCGTGCTCAATCGATCGTTTAAAGCCTTGAACATCATTATTAGCAGCAAGCTCAAGCAACTTTGCAAAAGCGTCTTCAAAACCAAGCAATTTAGCATTTGGAGTTGGATACGAATACAACTTGTGATTTTCCCCAACTTTTCTTGCCCCTTCTATTTCAATTATTATTGATAAAACAGGCAGAACAAACAACGAAAAGAGAGACAAAAACGATTGTAGTTAATTCAAAAGATTGTTTTTTTTTTATGTCAACAAGCTTTAGCACCTTGCTGGTTTCTCGAGTTTCCAGCTTGATATTGCTCTGTGATTTTTCAACCCGAAAACGATAATGGATGGACTTTGTTTGAAATCAGGGATTCATGGAATGGCGCCATCGATCTCCGTGACTGGGGCACTAGAATGTAGGGCTCACACGACGCAAGTGAATGCGGTGAGTCGGTCTTCCATGAATCATAGATAGCCATCGACGTCTTCTTCGATTCCTCCGCAGAATACAACTTTTTCTATGTTCTCGTTTTTGGTATCCGTTGATATCTTTGTGGCCTGGTGGTGGAGGTGGGAATCCTAAGAGGTACAACAGGATGGCAGTTGAAGACGCCGTTTTGGTGGAGAATAATCCGGAAGAAGAATAAAGTAAGAAAGAGCACAACATAAATGAAAAATATTTATTTTTAATTTAGTTCAAACTACGTCGTTTTAGTCTATATTTAATATTTTATAAGTTTCAAAACTACTTTATTTTGTGTTGATTGCCACGTCCGTTAGAAAATTAACTATTGAGTGATAAAAAAAGTTTAATATCTAAATTTTTATGAGCAAATTGAAAAAAATTAAAAGTACAGTAAATAAAATAGAAAAGATGGTAAAATTTAGTGAATAAGCGTATAATTTACTCTACATTAAATTAATATCAATTATTTTTCTTACCGTTTATTAAATCAAACTTTATTTTTTTCTCAATTATGAGTCACTCCATTGTTAATATTTTTTTATGAATATGTGGTAAGTACATGATAATATATGTTTAAAGAAAACTCTCAATCTTTCGACATTAAACGCTCACACCTCTAGTATCTATGGTACTCGAACCCGAGTCTTCAAATCCATTGTTAATTTTAGTTGGTAAGATGGCGAGATTTTTAAATAATTAATATAATAATATATTTAACTTTTTATTTATATATTATATTAATTTAATTTACAATTAATATCAGTTTAATTCATAATTACAAAAAGCAGCCCTAAATATTTTTATGCTTTTCAATTTATTAAAAAAATACATCTTTTTTTATATAATTCTTTTTGAAAGGATACATATTCCATTAATTAGTCATAAATGGAGTAATTATGTTGTGTCGCTGTTTACTTTAAAGTTAATAAACAACGAAGAATTAGTGTAATCGAAAATGTAATAAAAATTATAATATTTTCGGTTATGCACAATTTAAAATATTATGATATTAAAAAATTAATATTTTAAGTTATATCAAATAAAAAAACGCTATGATTTTATAACATTTTTAATTGTGTGTATTCCATATACATTAATCCTTTAAATTTTACCGTCATAAATATCATCATACAGAATAAGTGAGGGTACGTAGTGTCAAAAGAAAAAGCAGCATTAGTAGAAGATGCATTATGTGCCAAAGTGTGGGCAACTTTAAATCTGCAAGCAAAGGAGACTCGGACATGAGCATGAGCATCCAGGAGGCGGCAAGCGGCAACAAGGTGGAAGGGTTCATAATTTGTTTTTCAAAATTAGAGTAAACCTTTTATTGCAGTTATCTCTGTTTACAATATCAAGATTCGAACTTTTAATCTTAGTTAAAAGATTTAATGTCTCGTCTCACTAAACCTTATTATCCTTGTTGGTTGCAAACCGGTTGAACTTTGGTAAGTGAAAGTAGTTTACCCTAAATACAAATGGTTTTTTAAGGCAAGTTTTGTGTTGTAAGTTGGTATTTTACAAAGAAATGGAAGATTAGATTAAGGAAAACCAATTATGTACAGCTTGTGTCGTTATCAGTTATTATGCATGATTAGTAGATTTATGAATTCATCCTTCAAACCATGTCATGTACTACCTAATTGCTAGGTGGGAGACGAAAAAGAGGAGGGTGGGTATATTAAAAAATATGGATTTATTTGAAGCATAAAACCCGGTGAACGACAACATAGTAATTCAAAAGAATCGAACCATACAGCTTGAATGTGAAACTGCAAAGTTTCAGGACTTATTGCTAAGGGGGAGCCTTATTAGGTTAGTAAGAAACTAAGAAATAAGTGTTCGCATATCACCGAAACAAGCTCCGCCGCCGACTAGTAGTTGCTGTAGAATTAGTGGAGGTAGTGGTAGCAGCAGCAGTATTGCCTCTCAAAACTTGCTTTTGAATCACCAACACAGAATCTGCATTAACACTCTCAGAAGATGATACATAATCCCCAATTATCCCAAGCTCTTCTTGATTTTCTGTCCATGTTGATAATCCCTCCAATAGACTCGGATTTATCCCTTGTTTTCTCCCTACGATCCACATATCATAATATTTATCTTTTGCCATTTCCAATATTACCGCAACTGTATCTGCCCCATCTCTTGCCACTACCTCTCTGTAACTCACTCTCTCGTTTCTTTCGTTCTGTACCCAGAACGAAGTGACCACCCCATCGTCCAGCTTCTTTTGCATTTCATCGTCTCCTTCACCGTTGGGTGAAAGAAATCTTACAACTGTTAGGGACACGCTGGGGTTCCCAGCCATCCTACCTGAATAAGACAGAGCCTCTCTAGAATCTGGTCCTCCAAGGAATAGCACAATGAAACTGTGGGCAGCATCCTGGGGGAGTTGCCTTCTCTCGGCCTTGTCAACAAGAAGCCCCACCGAGCAAGGTGCATTCTCCATCACTTGGATGATCACAGACTGATTCCCACCACCCCATTGCTCTGCTGCTGCGATCTCTCCGTCACATTTCTTCTCCAAAGGTAAAATGATGATAACAGAGTTGCTTTCCAAAGCGAGCTTGCACACATCCTGATACATTGTTATTTTTGCCGTCGAAGCCGAGAAAAATTGGAGGTCTACGCAGTCTTCTCTGCTTTCTTGATACAAGGTTAGAGCATTGTGGATCCTTTCCCAGTCTGGGAACCTACTGGCGAGCTCTCCAAATTCCTGTTTTTGGTGGTCTATAAACAAAGGGTTACCACGGCCGATGAAATCGACGTGGTGAAAGACGTGAATGGAGAATGGATTTTGAGAAGTGGGATAAGAGACTTGAAGAAGGTTAACAATGGTTTGCAAGTGCTCTTTGTCCTTGATGCACACAAGTATCCTGAGATAATCATTTGGAGCTGTATGTTGAATGGTCCTCCTCTGGCTTACCATGTAAGGCTTTGAGGGATCATACAGAATGCTGATCATAGGTGTAAGAATTCCCATTAGAATTGCGGTTGTGTACATCAGCATTGTGAACCCTGCTACCCCTATTATCTGCTTGTAAACATCCAATTGTTTAATAAAAAATGGAAGTGAAGTGAAAGAAAAAAGAAGAAATTAAAATAGGAAAGGCCACACACACATCTTTGTCCACCCAATGGTAGTAAAGAATAAGCTCCACTTGACCCCTCAAGCTCAAAACAAGGCTGACAGCAAGGCTCTCTCTCCATGATAAATCAACCAACCTCGCAGCCAGCAGAGTGGAGAGGAATTTAGACAAATAACCTGAAATAATCAAACCAAAAAGTGGGCTTAAGGCGGACCACCCAGCTTCCTGCATTGCATGAAAATCTGTGTTCAATCCAAAAAACACATATGTACATGGCATAAATACTTCCATTATAATTGTCTCGCTTTTCTCCACCAAGGTTGCCCCAAGCGGCGGTCCGCTGGGAATCACCAAACCTAACCAAAATGAGCCGTTACAAATGGCTAAGCCGAACATGTCTGACAAAAACCCAAACCCAAACACTGATAAGAATATGGTAATCACGTAAATCTGATCCACTGGTTGTCCCTCTGGGGTTTTCCGGATAATCCACAACATTGCCTGATGAGCGGAACCCAGCAAGAATACTACAAAAACAAATGTGGACAACAAATACCACAGAGCACATGCAGTCGATACTTCCGATTGTTTCATTGCCTCAAAAGCGGAAATAAAATTAAACCCAAATGAGTCGCTAATTAATGCTGTGGACAATGTCATAATCCCGACGTCGGAGCTAAGAAGGTTCAGTTCTTGAAGCACAACGTACTGAATGGGAAATGTTGACACCGCCATAGATGAGGCAATTGCTCCAGTCGAAGAAAATCTTGCTAGTTGTTCGTCCATTGATTTCCGAGTACAAAATGCTACAACCGTCACTACTACGAGAGGTGAGAAAACACTCACCAGGGCTATACAAATTTGTTTTTTTCCTGATCGTGTTAACAACCCTATGTCCATTTTCACGCCACTTAAAAAAAGAAATAACATCAACCCTATTAGTCCCAAGTTTTTCAGCAAGAACTCGGCGGTAAGGGGAAACACCATGCTCACAAACATCGGGCTTTGCGCCATGAGAGAGGGTCCCATGAGAATGCCGCCCTTGAAACCAGTTAATCATCAATGACAGGCCAAAATAACTTACTACTAACTAACATTGATCATACATATATAAAGAAGAAGAAGAAGAGGAGTGAAGGTACTCACAATCATGTCAGAAACCAACCTAGGCTGTCTGAGAGGCTTGAGAAGAATTTGAGTGGTCCGAGAGATGATAATGGTCAAGATTAAAGCAACAAGGATGACATTAAAAGAGAACTTGATCGGCTTTCCGTCATAGAAAATGCTGAAGGGATTAGATATTTTTGATCTAGAACACCTCAATGAAAGTGCTGCAGTTCCACGGTTGGAGACCTGTAACTTGGCGCCTCTTGCAATTCCCATGGTTGGCGGTTGAATGGATTACAGCCTATCCCTGTAAAAGTACTCGTAACTATCAGGGGAGTTGTGGACGATCACCATGCAATGTGGCTGAAAAGGAAACTCGTTTCGTGTTGAGAATTATCATTGGCACTAACATGCATTAAAATGAGGCTGAGTGTTGTTTTATTTGTTCTACTTCTATTTCTGTACAAAATATAAATGAAGTCTTAACTTTCCTCTATCTTTGTTTTAGATGAATTGTAGTTTCCTATATAATTTCTTGTAAAACCATGCATGCATGACATGACATGAGCTTCTATTGTTAGGGATGAAGCATTTTTTCCCTTTATGGCTTAATTTTAGAAAAAACGGTAAATATGTTCTGCCCACAAATTTTATTGCTCTTTGCATGAAGTGACATTTTTAGTAATTCTGTAGAGGATAGGGTGATGCGGATACCAGAAGACAAGAGGAAGCAATGAGAAGTTAGAAATCAAAGGCAGAGCAGCTACAAATAAGGCGTCTGTTATGCATCTGATGTGCTTTCTGAACAAGTGGATAGGGTGATGTGGACTGATACTATAAAACAATCGAAAGCAGGCATATATATATATATAGCAGTGATCGGATGCTGTTAATTGTTTTATAATGTATTTTCTCTAAATATAATTAAAAGGACATTTAGCATCATCTGAACAATAGCGAAAACAAAATGTGAATAACAGAACTTCAAAATGATAAAACCAAACATGACAAGATATTAAGCTTCGAATCGAAAGATCTGGGCGTGAAACATTGAATCCCCTAACAGATCAAACATGAAACTGTGGAACCCTCACACCTTAAGAAGCAAAGGAGGCCAGCATATGATTTTTAGCGAAGAGGCAAGGAGCCTCAATCAAATCTCCATTAAAAGGAAGCGAGGATCAGATATTTTTTTAGTTAAAATTGCTACTGCATGAGGCTCTACTTATGTTTTAGTTCACACCGTATTGAGGGCTGTCCAGCTTGTATTGTAATATTGTATGTTTTGTAAGAATTAATGTCGTGTATTTGAGTTAGAGAAAGCACTTCATTAGCCACTTTATATACTTATTTCCTCCCTTCCCAAGACCACTATTATTCACTTGAGTCACAGTGATCAAAACAAAAACAAAGAACAGTTAATCTGCTATTACAAGTTAAACTCCAATTCAAACGCTTGAAGCGTCTATTGCCTAATAATACAATACTAATATAAGAGTAGAACAAAAAACGAAATATTAGATAGAGTAAACAAATAAGAAACTGACAAATAAAATCCAAAACAAATTGCACCAGCCGGGAATCGAACCCGGGTCTGTACCGTGGCAGGGTACTATTCTACCACTAGACCACTGGTGCTTGATGTTTCAGGCTATATTAACATATTATTAATCCTTAAAATATTTTATTGAGCATTGCTATGTCTCGCTTGAACCACACATCCAAGCAGTAGCTTAGCAGTTTAGTTAGTAATCTAAGGGTGTGACAGCGGGAGGAAGAGAGAAGGTTGAAGCGGGAAATGGCGAATTCTATCTACAGGGCTTCTATTCTTCAATCTCAGCTGCTTTTCCGACCCAGTCTATCAAATAAACATTCTGTTCCGAAGAAGAGTAACTTGTTCTGTTTTGCTTCATCACAACTCAGTCCTATCCGGTTAGCACATTTTCACTTTCCCTTTATTTATTTAACTAAGAAAGCTGAGCACAAGTGTGGTGATGTACTTTTGGTTTGGTTTTAGGTCAGAAGTGAGTTTTTGTACTGGAACTCACCTCATTCCTTATCCAAACAAGGTGTTCTAAGCTTGAAAATTTTGTTCCTGTCATTTTTGAATTAAACTTTAATGGGTATTGAATACAACTTTGATTTCTCTTCTTCTGTTAGGTGGAGAAAGGAGGAGAAGATGCTTTCTTTGTTAGCAACTTCAACGGGGGAGTTATTGCGGTCGCTGACGGCGTTTCCGGGTGACATATAATGATACATCAATATTTTCTCTCTCTCTAGATTAAAGTTTAAGTCTTTTTGTCTCCTATTCTTATTTTTCACATTCTTGCAGTCCTTTTCTGAGCATGTTTATTTTTCCCAGAAATGAAGTGGGCTAGTGTAAATATGTATGTGTGAACTAGGTTTTTCTCCCCTGGCGTTATTTGATAATTTTATTTTCATTTGTTTGCCAGTTGGGCTGAACGGAATGTGGATCCTGCATTATTTTCCAAGGAGCTAATGGCTAATGCTTCCTCTCTTGTTGGGGATTTAGAGGTAGTTTTATTGGACTATTGGCATATTTGCAGCAATAATTTCTTTTAGGAATTCTCATATTTTCAATCTGATTTGAATGATTGTTTAAGATAAAAACTTGGGTGTTTGTTAATCTTCGTGATTAACGGGTTTTACGTATCTACTATGGTGTTTATCTGGCTATATCTGTTACGAGGTTAATTACGATCCCCGGATCCTCATAAGGAAAGCACATGCTGCTACTTCCTCTAAAGGCTCGGCTACTGCGTAAGTTTATTGTATTCTCTGGATGTCTTCCCTTCCTACATCGTTCTACACATCACGGTACTGTCATCAACTTTGATTTTCCAATTGATTTGTAGTATTGTTGCGATGCTAGAGAGGAATGGAACGATGAAGGTTGCCAGTGTAGGTGATTGTGGATTAAGAGTTATTCGCAAAGGTGAATGCCAAACACTGTGTTTCTTCCGGGAGTTGGTTCTCAATATTATTATGGGCAAGATTTAGTGATGTTATTTAAGTAACTACAGGGCAGATAGTATTTTCTACCACCCCACAAGAACATTACTTCGACTGCCCATATCAATTGAGCTCGGAGTTAATTGGCCAAACGTATCTTGATGCCGTGGTAATAAATGAATGCTAAGTTTATCTGTCAATTGTAATTGTCATTTATGCTATCAGTTGCAGCTGTTTTGTACAAAAACCAAAATCAAGTGACAAGTTCAGTTTGCAAGGTACAATTACTGAAGCTTACAACTTAAAAGCGTTGCTTGTTTCTTGTATTTCCTGTAAAAACAGGATAGCAGTGTGGAATTAGTGCAAGGAGACACCATAGTAATGGGCTCCGATGGGCTCTTTGACAATGTTTTCGATAGAGAAATCATTTCCACGTTGGCCATACATAGCGATGTAGTGGACGCTGGTATGTGTTTCTTTATAGTTACTGCTGTCTGTTTAAGTAGGATAGTAAACGAATCAAGTTTAAATGAATATATATCTCTTCATGTTAACAGTATTTTCCAACATTAAACAAACACCAACACAATAGTATAACATGTTTGTAAACACTAAACAAACATATTTAAAGACTAATATAATTTAGTATCACATCTCAGACTCTATAAGAGTAAGAGTGGGACTAAATTGCATAATCAATTTGTAATGGTAGCAAAGGCATTGGCTAACCTGGCGAGCAATCACTCCATGGATTCAAGGTTCGAGTCTCCCTACTCATTAGAGGCCAGATCCAAGGTGATAAACTACTAGTCAGATCCTTTATGTTAAAACCTCTAATGAATCGATTTAACATATCTTGATGGTATTCCTTACAGGGTTTTGATGTTCCTATTTGGAAGAAAATCCTGGGGATGAAGCTAACAGGTGGGGTTTCTTTTGTGGTTTTTTTTCCCTTTGACAATGATCCCATTTGCGTTCGGCCACAGTTAATCCTTACGATTATGATTTTGGGAGCAGGTGGAAAGCTAGATGATATCACTGTGATTGCTGGTAAGGTTGTAACTTTACCTGCCGCTGCTAGCTAGAACCAGGTTCAGATAACAGGAACGATGGAGGAGGCCGGCTCCGGTGACACTAGGGGTTTATATTAAACGGGAGGATGCAATTAACATCCACGTACCTTACCTTACCTGCCATTATTGGATTATGATTATGTTCATTGAGAAATCAATCTGTTCTGTCTTTTCTTGGCCACTATATGATCGTGAATGTACAAACAAAAAAAAATCTCATGTCACTCAACTCAAGATGTTTAAGATGCCCACGCATCAACATATCAGACTTTTTTTATATGGGGCACCTTTTTCTTTACACTGAACGATTAAATAATGATTTTTTATATGTAATTGGAATGGTCAATAAATGGTTATCAAAATGCAAAATCCTTGTCTGTCAGGCTAGACTTTTCCATGCTAACCTCATCATCAAACACGTGAAAGAATAAAAATCACAACAATAGATGACTACAAGTCATTGTATGAGATATCCAGGAAACTCCACTGAACTAGTTACTTAATACAATCCAAATTTTGAAAGTAACCAAGGGGAAAATAGTCAAAACAGATCATATATCCTACTATGCTTAAACATTGAGTCAAGAAAATAGCATTTTCAGCACTTGAATCTTTGGGGGTAAAAATGCAACTTTAAATTGCATAGTCATGAAACCAATTGCAAAAATAGTATGGATTCGTGGCTATAAATGATTCAACATTTATTTATTTGATATACTCTATGGATATCGATTTAAACTATAGATATGCCTGGAAGTATACGTCCTGCACTCCTGCTTACCCGCCCATCGTGTGAAGCTAAACTTTCCAACCATCACTTGAGGCGTGCGTTTTGCAGCGTCTGTATGCATTGGCACAATTCCTCGTGACACTTCAGGTGATAGTGCCACTTTCAGGGCAGCCATCGAGTTGTTGGTAGAAAGATTTTGCAGCTTCATAGGTGGACCAGCAAATTGCAGCAGCAGGGGCATGGAAGAGAATTCGAGGAATCCATCCCCTCATGAGGCCCTTGTAGCCATCTTTTTGCACTATTGTTTTGGTCACATCCATAATAGCAGTACTCTTAAATCTATCACATCCACATACACCCTGCGATGCATTTTTTTTAATAACAATAAGAAGATCAGAGGAGCAAGATGCATAATTATAACAATTACACAGAGGTAAATCTTAATGGATTTCAAAAACCAACAATGTGAAACTAAAAGCGAAACAAGCTGAACCAAGAAATCAACCACGGGCAAGTGCTTCAAATACAAGCGTTTCAACTAATAAAGGAAAGTACGCAGATATAGATGAAAATGGAAATTTATTTTCAGTATGATGTTGATATGAAGGCAATGAAATTAAAGGTGTTGCAGTAATAAAGACTGGATTCTGTTCATTCCGACTCATAACACTCAAAATGTTGGTGTCTGTCCAGTAGATACAAGATGATATGATGCAGCAAATTAACAATATTAAATATGGAAAAAAATAAGATATGGGGATCCCATTCACTATGATTGTATGAAAGTAATCAAATACGACGTCCCACTAAACAAATTTTCCTAATATAGCTAGCTAGCAGCAGCAAAATCCAACAAACAAGAAAAAGGCAGAGGCAACGCTTGAATTACCTGACACTGCAACTGAGTTTTAACTACATCAAGTGGTGTAGTGACAACCGCTGCAGATGTTCCAGCAAGAGCACCAGCCGTGGCATGGACGATCATCTGCTCACCACTCGCACTCTCTGGTGAAATCTGAATCAGACCCCTTTTTGCTGCCTCGTAAGTTGCAAAATGAACAGCCGTAAAAGGTGCATTCATCAGCACCGTCGTCCTGTAGGAAGCATAAAACGCCCCAAAACCTTCCTCTTTTAAAACTTTCTTAACACAATCCAATACCCCTCTATAAGCAACACCGTTCCCCAACTGTAACCTCTGCTTCACCATATCCATAGGCGTAAAAACGGCGTCGCTTGCTAACGTCGCGAAAACACCGGAAACTGCATGGGCCGCCGAGTTATTCGGGTCCCCACCCGAAAAATACTTCTTGCAAACTTCGTAGACAGAGAAGTAGACGGCATGGGCCGGACCGGCCCCCAGTCCCATGGCCCCGATTCCCCGGTATAAGCCCCGGACTCCTTCGGGTTTGAGGACAGAACGGAGCGCGTGACGTACACCCACCGATTTGATTGGGCAAGAGCCGAGGGCTTGCATATGGGTCTTGACGGTATCAACAGGGAACATTGCCATATGCTCAACGGAACCAGCGATGGAGCCAGCAACCATGAACTGCCAAAAGTGGAGCCCGTCGTGGGACGTCACCGTCATTTCCGGATGGAAATCCGGTGGCTGCGGCACCGGTCGGAAGTCCGGGGTGTGGAAATTTGTTGTGGAAGCATCTGTAGCCATAAAGAATAAAGAATTGGGGATATGGGTTTTCTTTTTTCTTTTTGGAATAAAGAATCTGGACAATGAGGGCTTCAGAATAGTATTAGCGATGGGGTTATTGATAGACAGACAAACAAAGTTTGATTCTACAAAGCAGGAGGATTAAGACCGAATTGCATACTTGAAGATGAGAATCGAAAGCGAGGTTTTTGCTTGTTTCTCGTTACTCCTGTTTGTGCTTTTCTTTATTGTTTCTTCTGCTCGCCGGTATTTAGATTTCCAAGCTTTTAAAAGTCGGAGATAAAATCGGACGACTTTCTTTTCAATTTTAAAACTCAACACTACGGTTCCAAATAATAAGGGATTATTTTGTAGATATTTAATTGATACTGATTACCGAAGTAAACAAATCATCCATCTATGGGCAAGATGGTAATTTAATTTATATATTTATCTTTGCGTAAACTACACTGGTGATCCTATTTGTTTTGAAACTGTCTTATTTTTTTCACCGGATTTGAAACAATTACATATTTACATTCCAATCACTTTTATTTTTTGATCGGTCTTATTTTGGTTACCGGACCGACATGACATGTTAGTATAAATAGTTAAATTTTAATCTAACTTATTTATTTTAGAAAGAATATTATTTTGACTAAATTTTAGATAAAATATTAATTTAATTCTTAAACTTTAGATAAAATATTAAATTGATCCCTAAATCTAAACAAAGTCTTTATGGCCGTCGGTCCTCATCATCGTTACCGATCACGGTTGGTTGCCGCCATTGATCACTATCGACCCTTAGAGACGAAGTTATTTATTTATTTCTGTACAAACCTATTTTGAGTTTTAAGTTTAGACAAATATAGTGCGACCCTTAAGCAGGTTTAATGCTTTAACAAGTAGTGATAATCTGCCTGCAGTTTGTTCGGATTCATTGTTCTACACATGGTAATGTATGCAATCAACATATTCCACTAGAGACTGTGTAGGCCTTCATATTTGGTTTCAAGCTGGAACTGAATTGGGCTATCGACAAGTTCTGCTTCTGAGCTTTGTCCTTGGAACATTGGCTTCAGCCACTGTGCTCTCCAACCTTGGCGTTTTTCCCGATATATCACATATATATTATATATTTCCCTGTCAGGCACCCTTCAGACTATTTTTCCCGATCTAACACCTTTTGCAGTAAAGGTGCGCCCCCTACAGCGCACTTTATGCTGAGTTAGCTACATATGTGTAAAGCGCGGCTCGCACGTCTTATGCCACGTAGGGGTATAGCGCGGGGCAGGGGCCGCGCCTTACCTTTAAATCTGAATACCCACATTCTCAATCACTTTCATCACACCAAATTCTCTCAACTTCTCTCAAACACTCTTATATTCTCTTATAACTGTTTAAGGTATATTTTATTATATTTAATATTTTATTTGTAATTTATTTAAGTATTTAAATTTTTTAATATTTTATTTAATTATTTTTTTGCAGATATACAATCTACTTCGCTTGGATGAAAATCATACATCTCGACATTTTGCTGATACGGTCACATTTTAATGTTTTAATTTAATTTAAATTATTAGTAATAATTTATTTATTTATTTAATGCATGATTATTAGTTTAAAAATTAATTTTTGTAATTATTTAATTTTAGGAGAGAGACCATGTATTATATCATTTTATTAGGAATCTTAAGTTAGTAATACCTAGTCGTGTCTTGCCATATTTAGTAGAGGTTGGATTCGGTCACATAGGTAGATATGAGGGTCACTGTAAGATAGAACCAAACCTTATTGTTGCCTTAGTAGAGCGGTGGAGGCCGGAGACCCACACATTCCATATTCCGTGCGAAGAGTGCACGATTACACTTGAGGATGTTTATATGCACCTAGGGCTTCTGGTGGATGGAGATGTGATATCGGTGATGGCGTACGGTTCCTGGACTGCTTTGTGCCGGGAGTATCTAGGACGTGTCCCAGAAAGTTTTAACGGTGGTCGAATACCGTTAAATTGGTTAGATTCCAATTTTTGAGAGTTGAGCTAGGACGCCTCTGATGATGAAGTTAAAATGTATGCACGGGCATGCATACTGCAGCTGATAGGAGGGTTGTTGATGCCGGACAAATCGCGTAACCAAGTTCACTATATGTGGTTGCGACATCTTGGCGACTTTCGTTTGTCCAGATCACTCAGTTGGGGCTCGACAGTTTTGGCTTTCCTGTATAGGGAGATGTGTCGAGCCACTGACTACAGGAAAAATGTTATCGGCGGATGTCTCCTGCTGTTGCAGTCTTGGGCATGGTATCGATTGCCCTTTTTATGTCCCATTGTCAATAACCCATTCGTATTTCCGCTACTATTGAAGTAATTATAAAATTGGTTTCGTATATTAATCATTTTATACAGTGTATAATAATTTTTTTCCTTGAATATGTGGTCTACTGATAGGAAAAATCATCAGGAGCTACCTGATGATTTAGAAAAAATTAGGGTGCTAATTGATCAGAAGGTTGTCACACATGTATGCATTTTAATGTTTAAAAATCGATTTTAGATTATAGTTATATAATTAAATTATTATTTTGATAAAAATTATATATATTTGTTTTAGTTTGAATGGGTGTCATATTCTAATGATAATGTCAGGATGGTGATCCCACCTGAGTGGAGGTGCCCATCAGATGTTTGGATGGTGATAGTCCATTTGATATGTTATCCAATCGTCGAGTGGCACTCCACTGAGTGCTCCGGTAATTTTGGTTGTTTTTCACCAATTCCGGAAGCATCTCGCAATATGGATGAGCTGCATAGGACAGATAGACGCGGCAAGACAGATACAGATTGGCTGGTGAGGCATCATGAGTGGGTCGTGTTGTGGGAGGATCGACATCGGTGCCTTACCTATGAGAGACCATTTTTTATGACCTCTTGATGGTTGATGACAGTTATTATGAGTGGTTCGATAGTAACGGGAAACCGTTTCTGCTTTCCGAGGATGCACGAGGGTGGACCTTTCAGCGAAGTCGATAGAGACGTTCACCGATACAGCACCATCGTCCCCCGACTCGTGGACGGAGAACATGTGCTTCCGGTTCATCCTCAACTGTACCAGCAGGACCGTCACAGCAACTACCGTCTACAGCGACTTACATACCGCAACCATATGTGATGTCGCCACTGCCATTCCCCTACCCGATGCCGCCGTCGCCACCGTCACAGAGTTATATGACCCCTCTTGGAGGATATTATGGGTCTATGTTTATAGATCCGACTTGGGGTTCATATGCCCACATTTTAGTGGGTTCAACCTCATCACCCATGGACGCATCACAAACACCTCTTGTACAGTTTTCACAGTCAATGATGTCTGGGTTTTATGAGTTTTTCCAGTTTTCGCAGGCCGGTGGTATAGTCAGTCATACACCTCCAGGGTCCTTATTCTATAGAGGTGCTTCATCGTCATCAGCTCCTTATCAACAAAATGTAGCTGCTCAGGACGACGATGACAACAACGACGACGACGACGATGATGACAGCGATGAGTCACAAACAATGATACGAAGAAATCCTCCTCGAGACAGACAACCACCGCCCTGCGGAACACATTCGCATCGATGGCATTGATAAATTTTGTTTTTTATTATATTTGTATTTAGTTGTTTATTGGACTTTTTTATTGTAAGTTTTTTTATTATTTATCATTTAATACTTACTTTATTTCATTAATTTGGTTGGATTTATTTTAATTTATTTTGTTAAATTTGTTGGACTTTTTGTTAATGTATTTTAGTTAATTTTGTTTATGACCATTTAATATCAGTTATTGTAATTTGATAGCATTAACACATTGTGGGTAAGTCCAAAAAACCCGGTAGAATTGGCATCGATCGCGAAGAACTCGATCATTATGGTATGCATAGGAGGTTTCAAATTCAACAATTGTCCCAAGATTCAACCTCCGCACCAGCCTAAACCATCTTGGAAGTTTGTTGTAAGATGCATCTCATTCGCCATGAAGTTTGACAATGGCATTTTGTTTTACCAACCAAGCTTTTTTATAGGAGACAGCATAACCATATTGCGATTGTATAGCTAAAATCAACACAGCAACAGCTATATGAGAGCTTGCTTTTACCATGGCCATGATGGCTTGGCATATCACTTCAGAGTCTAAGTTGGGATGATCTTGGTTGACCCCTCCAGCACAACATGTGTGAGGATCATTGTATATTGTTAGTTCTCATATGTTATTTTTCCTCTTCCTCTTCGATACGCGAACCATCCAATTGTATCCGTTTTCGCGTCGGGCATAGTAGCATACATATTTTTCTGTTGTGGAGCGATCGACTCTCGATTGAACAGAATTACGTATATTGTAATTTTTTATAGCCATCATCACATCTTCTTTGCTTGAAAACTCAATGCCTAAAGATAACTCGCATTTATTTATTGATGAGTAATATCCATAGTTATTGAGATGAGGCATATCCGTAAATTCTGGCTCGTACATTGCACCATAATCAGCTTCATACATGTGTGTTGGAGGGTCAGTTTGTGCCACATTTGATGGAACTTCATCTACATTATCATCATCATCGGAGTTAAATTGCAGTGATTCTGGGTGAATGAATAGTTCAGTCTCAGTACCATCCGCATCAGGCTCACGAAGCGGTTCTTCTGGTGGAGATGATGGTTCCTCCATGCTCTCCACATTTAGGTCGAAGAACCTACTACTTGCACGTCTTCCCCTTGAACTAGAAGGGATATTGACATTGAGATCGAAAAAGCTCGTAGTTGAATGCCTCCCCCTGGAGCTTGAAGCCATAGTGTCAAATGGAAACTGCATAGATTGTTGCGTCGATGGCATCTCCATATTAAGGTCAAAGAAATTTGCAGATGAATGTCTTCCCCTTGAACTAGAGGCGATGTTTTCATACGGATTGTTCGTGGACCCACCTCGATACATATCGTAAGGAGTTACGAATGAATGTCTCCCTATTGAAGTTGGTGTGATGGCATCATGATGCGGATTTCCCATTATGGTATTAAAATCATTACACATTACTGTAGTCGGGCTGTTAACTTGATCAAATTGTTCAGCCAGCCCATAGTAGGAGCTTAATGACTGACCCCAAACAGCTTGCACTTGAACAAACTTTACATACATCTCAATATCGGCGTCTGAATAAACTTTGAGAATCAACCATCATTTCAACATTATCATTGTTTGATAGTTCGAACGCTGTATAAGTTAATGGCAACAATGATGTTGGAAATATG